TGTATGGCCACCAAATTCATCTCCTGCCGGGCACGGCGCCGGTTGCGGTGCGCCCCTACCGCTACCCCCAGCTGCAGAAGGACGAGCCGGAGCGGCAGTGTGCGCTAATGCTCGCCTTGGGCATCATCCGGATCTCTACTTCCCCGTTTTCAGCGCCGGTCCTCCTCGTCCGCAAGTCGGACGACACGTGGCGCTTCTGCATCGACTACCGTGCCCTTAACGCCCAGACGCTCAAGGACAAATTTCCTATTCCAATCGTCCACAAGCTACATGGGGAGCGCTTCTTCACCAAGCTCGACCTCCGTTCGGGCTACCCACCAGGTGCGGATGCACCCGGACGATGTCGCGAAGACGGCGTTTCGGACTCATCACGGCCACTTCGAGTTCTTGGTGATGCCTTTTGGCCTCTCCAACGCCCCGGCGACCTTTCAGGCCTTGATGAACGACGTCCTCCACCCCTACTTGCGTCGGTCTGTGCTTGTTTTCTTTGATGACATTCTTATCTACAGCGCCTCATGGGCGGAGCACCTTTAGCACGTTGCCATCGTCTTCAACGAGCTTCAAGCGCACCATCTTCATCTTAAGCGCTCGAAGTGCTCGTTCGGCACGCCTTCAATCGCCTACCTCGGCCACGTCATCTCGGCCAAGGGTGTTGCTATGGACGCCGATAAGGTGGCAGCTGTCGCAGCCTGGCCGACGCCGCACTCACCACGGGCTATCCGCGGCTTCCTGGGCCTCGCAGGGTACTATCAGAAATTTATCCGAGAGTTCGGCCTCATCGCATCCCCGCTGACGCGCCTGCTGCGACGCGACACGTTCGCCTGGGATGCGGAGGCCACTAAGGCGTTCGAGGCTCTCAAGAGGGCCCTCACGACGGGTCCCGTCCTCCAGATGCCCGACTTTGACCGGCCGTTCATGGTGGACTGCGACGCCTTTGGTGTGGGGTTTCGGCGCCGTCCTTCATCAGGGCGACAGGCCGCTTGCGTTCTTCAGCAGGCCCTTCGCCGCGCGCTATCATAAGCTCGCGGCCTATGAGCGGGAGCTCATTGGCTTGGTGCAGGTCGTGCGCCACTAGCGGCCATATCTTTGGGGGCGGCCGTTCCGTATTCGCACGGATCACTACAGCCTCAAGTTCTTATTGGACCAAAGGCTATCTACCCTGTCGCAGCACCAGTGGATCAGCAAGCTCTTTGGCTTCGACTTCACCGTCGAGTATCGTCCGGGCCGTCTGAACACTGTGGCCGACGCCCTGTCCCACCGCGACGCCGACCACGACACGGACGCCAGCGACGCCGACGGAGCGGCTCTCTGCATCCGCTCGGGGCCTTCCTTCGCCCGCATTAACGACATCAGCAGGGCAACCGCAGACGCGCCGGATGCTCAGCTCATTCGGGAGCGCCTCGATGCCGGCGACCTGGAGGAGCCGTGGCGTTTGGCAGATGGCTTACTCCTGCATGGGCGCCGCCTCTTCGTGCCGGATCACGACGACCTCCGTCACCAGGTTCTGCTGCAAGCACACTCGGCCGGCCACAAGGGTGTGCAGAAGACCCTTCACCGTCTCCTCGCCGATTTCTACCTCCCCGACGATCAAGCCCTGGTCCGAGACTGGGTGCGGTCTTGTGTTACGTGCCAGCGTAACAAGACGGAGACACTGCACCCAGCTGGGCTGCTACAGCCCCTGGAGGTGCCCTCTCAAGTCTGGGCCGATATCTCCATGGACTTCATCGAGGGCCTCCCTAAGGTGGGCGGCAAGTCCGTCATCCTCACGGTGGTCGACCGCTTCTCCAAGTACGCACACTTCATCGCGCTCGACCATCCCTACACCGCCGCTTCCGTGGCTCGTGCATTCTTTGACGGCATCGTCCGCCTACACGGGTTTCCCTCTTCGATCGTCAGCGACCGGGACCCGGTGTTCACGGGGCATGTCTGGCGCGATCTCTTCCGGATGGTAGGCGTGAAGCTCCGCCTGAGTACGGCCTTCCATCCTCAGACGGACGGCCAATCCAAGGTGGTCAACAAGGTGATTGCCATGTATTTGCGTTGTTTTACAGGTGATCGTCCCTGTGCTTGGGTGGACTGGCTCGCGTGGGCGGAGTACTGCTACAACACCTCTTACCACTCCGCCCTGCGCGCCACGCCATTCAAGGTGGTCTATGGCCGACCGCCACCGCCCATCCTGCCAGTTGACCCTGAGACGGCTAGGACGGAGGCGGTGGGCGACCTTCGCAGCCGGGACGAGATGCTAGCGGAGGTGCGCTAACGCCTTCTCCAAGCCCAGCAGTTGTCCAAGCGGTACTACGACGACCATCACCGCGAGGCGGAGTTTGCGATGGGCGACTGGGTGTGGCTGCGCCTCCTTCACCGCTCCATGCAATCCCTGGACCCGCGCGCTAAGCGCAAGCTGGGCCCTCGCTACGCGGGCCCGTTTCCTGTGGTAGAGCGCATAGGCAAGGTGGGCTACTGCTTGCAGCTTTCGACCGGTGCCCGCATCCATGACGTGTTTCATGTGGGGTTGCTGAAGCCCTTCCGTGGAGACCCAGCGGCGGCCACGCCAGTACTACCTCCGACCTTCGACGGGCGCCTTCTTCCAGGACCGGCGAAGGTGTTGCAGGTCCAGCAGCGTCGTGGAGTATGGCATTTGCTGATCCAGTGACACGGCCTTCCGGAGGAGGATGCCACTTGGGAGAAGCTCGAGGAGTTCCGTCAACATTTTCCAGACTTCCAGCTCGAGGACGAGTTGTTTGCGCAGGCGGGGAGAGATGTTATGACCGGCATCACTTATAGCCGGAGGAGGCCCAATGGGCGCGTCTAGTTAGGGGCTTAGCCCAAGTTATTTTATTTTTATTAGCATCAAGATTATATAAACAGTTGTAAGACACCCTTTTGGAATTAAGCAATAAGACATATTCTATTGCTCGGCTCCCCGAAGGAGCCGGAACCCTAACCCTAGCCGCCCGCTCTCATCGCCGCCGCCTCCTCCGCGCGACACGGCGCCCTCGCGCCGGCGGCCGTGCTCACGTCCGCGCCCGCCTCCCTCCTTCCCGTACAACCTCCGACCAAGACCTGGTAGGGCCCTAGCTCCTACTAGGGTGTTCAAAGTTGTACTAATTACCATGGAGCATTGCTTAAGAAGATTGACAAACGTGACCAGAAAAACAGTATGGTTTCATGCCTAGGAGGTCAATCCTGGAAGCCATTTTCTTGGTTCGACAACTTATGGAGAGATACAAGGAGCAAAAGAAGGATTTGCATATGGTGTTCATTGGCTTGGAGAAGGCCTCGATAAGATACTGCAGAATGTCATATGGTGGGCCTTGGAGAAACACAAAGTCCCAACAAAGTACATTACCCTCATCAAGTACATGTACGATAATGTTGTGACAAGTGTTTGAACAAGTGATGGGGACACCGATGACTTTCAATTAGAATAGGACTGCACCAAGGGTCAACTTTTTAAGCCCTTATCTTTTTGCTTTGGTGATGGATTAGGTCACAAGGGATAATATCAGGAGATATCCCATGGTGTAATGCTCTTTGCGGATGATGTGGTGCTAGTCGGAAATGGTCGAACGGGGGTTAATGGAAAGTTAGAGATGTGGAGACAGACTTCAAAATCGCAAAGTTGTAGGCTTAGTAGACGTAAAATTGACTACATGGGGTGCGATTTCAGTTCTAGTAGGCACGAGCAGGAGGAAGTTAGCCTTGACGAGCAGATGGTACCTCGAAAGGACACATTTCGATATTTGGGGTCAATGTTGCATAAGGATGGTGATATCGATGAAGATGTGAGCCATCAAATAAAAGTTGGATGGATGAAGTGTCGCCAAGCTTCTTGAGTTCTCTGTGATGAGAGAGAGCCACAAAAGCTAAAAGGCAGGTTCTATAGGATGGCGGTTCGACCTGCGATGGTTGTCTGGCGTTGAATAGTGGCCAACTAAAAGGCGGCATGTCCAACAGCTAGGTGTAGCAGAGATGCGCATGTTAAGATGGATATGTGGCCACACAAGAAGATTCGGGTTCAAAATGATGATATACTTGATAGAGTTGGGGTGGCACCGTGCCTGATATGGTTTGGGCATATATAGCACAGGCCTCCGGAAGCGCCAGTGCATAGCGGATGGTTAAGGCGTGCTGATAATGTCCTGAGAGATCGGGGTAGACCAAACTTGACATGGAAGGGGTCCCTAAAGAGAGATCGGAGATCTAAAGGACTGGAATATCACCAAAGATTTAGCCATGGACAGGGGTGCGTGAAAGTTAGCTATCCATGTGCCAGAACAATGACTTGGTTTCAATATCTTATGGGTTTCAAATTATTTGCTGGATAATTTTCAATTGCATCATACTTTCTGTTACATTAATACTATCGAGTCCGCCGCCAAACTTTTCATTGCCTATTATCGACAATATAAACGATGCAATAATCTACAAAAGGAACAATGATTTGCAACTACACAATAAACACATAATTTGAGAATATTTTCAAGTAGGATACTGGTGTAACCATGGACCGGTCATTTATTCATGAAATTCTATATAAAGGAACTGAACTAAATTTTAATTTGTTCAGAATGGAAAAAAAAACTTCTTATATCCCGCCCAATATACACACGTGTTGTGGCATTGCATGCATAAATTTATAGGCACTTTTCAGAACTCTGGAACTATTCTACTGTACAGCATTTCATCTACTAAGTGCTAAATATCTTGCTTCAAATGCTTGTAGGGACTAGGGAGTTGACCGAGATAGTTCACTGGATGGAAATATTAGGGTCAATCATTCTCATGTAAATGTCACATAATCAGGCACAAAAAGAAGAGGCTGAAATTATATAATCAACTAAAACCAACTATAGAATATGAACACAATGGAAATATGATTGTTTTATAACTTATTAAGTATTCTGCAAAAATCAACAATTTTCACAAAGAACACAAGGTTTTTATCTAAATGCATACATTGTTACTGCATGAGATGCCATTTCGGATAAAAGTGATACCTCTCGTCACGCCAAAAAGAGTTTGCATCTAATTCTGGCAGCACTAGTGTAGCATTCATTATTCGTGCAGCAACAACAGCATTACATATCTACAAAAACAGGACAATAGCAACCTTAATTTTGTTACCATCAATCATATAATCATAGTAACTCCAGCAATTTAGTGCTGGTGGTTTTCGTCCCATAGTTCGTCTCCAAGAATGGTGTTGGACAGTGGGTTTCCCACTAGTGAGTTGAACCCGTTTTCTTGTTTTCACCTTCTTCTTTTTTTACTTTCTGTTATGGAAGTTACGGAAAATGTGGAACCGGGTTCAAAAAATAGCAAGTATTATGATCAAACATGCTTCTTTACAGATAAAGGGAGAGCTTATTCGTTAATCACCGCGGTACGTTGTTGGTTCAAGCCACCATTGCATCGGACACGCAAGTACCCATTAGTCTCAGACTCAGTTGGTGGGGCTGCAGGTACATTAATTAACTTCAGCATATCCACTTTTACCATCCTTTGCTAAGAATATGACCGTCAACTTCCAGAGAGGTTAGAGACACAAACATACGAGGCCAATATGATCGTGGTGCAGAAGAAGCTCTCCAGCCATTTGAATTTGCAGTTCTCCACAACTTATTTACATCAACATCCTTGAATAATCGCATCGATGTTAGTATAAGAAATCATTTCATTGAGAATTCAAATACACAATGCACATATTGTCATTGTAATTAAAATGATGCAATTAGTTAAAATCAGCTTATCAGCCCACAAACTAAAATGATGCATTTCAAAAGGCATATTGCCACTAAACAGAATTTATTTCTGATACTATTGTTTATCATTAGAATAGAATATTTTAAAATGCAAAGTCATCCAGTTCACCACTAGGAAATACATCCTCATGAGCCATCAAAGTGTCCCAATGATTTCCACAGAGAAGGTAATAATTCTTTCTAACCAATTTAAATGCATTTGCATTGCCTCCACTTATATCATCCAAATCCACAATAAACTAATAGCAGCAACCATATATATCTTTTTTTCTTGCCGGTCACCAACCATATAGATCAACTACACAAAATAATGAAAGTTCTGGTAAACGCACTATCCCCCTCCACCGGTCCCTCCCATCGTAACAACGATCGTTCACATATTTTTCTTTTGCAGCGGCTTGGAGTTCTTCGACCCCCAAGCCTCAGAGAAATGGCCCATCACCATCTATTGGTCTTTCCCCAAAGCAATAAAAAAATATTAACATAATACCATCACCATTTCCTCGCTGATAAACAACGCGAAAAATAACTTGAACAAATACCCTGTTGAAGAGAAGATGGGGAGAAATTCCGTAACATCATCTAACAAGTGAAGTCTGTTTTGAACCTTCAATTCATATGGCTCGTCGCAATCAAACCCCAACTTCCAAATCCCTGAAATTGACACCCTCTACTCACTGATCCCGGTCTATCTCAACCCTAAACCTATGTAGACTAGTTTGTCATGCTAGGAAAATAACAATCCCGGCCGGGATTACTCTCTACTCTCACTGACTGCACGGATCCGCATGTCATATCCATCTTCTTCCTGTAATTTTTATCTCTCTCGCCAAGAACTGGGGTGCTCGTTCAGAACGGTGAGGTTTGGCAGCGGAACTATGGGAAGGGCATGAGAATGGGCACATGTGCACTTGTTTTGTCGCCGTTCGCGCCGTCCATGCGGCACTGTGAGCGGCATGCATGCGTTCGGCCTGGCGTGCTCTGGCGCAGGGCAGGGGCCTAGAGCGAACTGTGGATGAAGAAATAGGGGGACAAAATGTGATTAGAGCTCATCCAATGACGCGGTATGGCGAATGAGAGTCGCGGGAATCCACAGGGGCAGTCAGAGTGAGCTTGGAGACGAGGTGAACTGTTGGGGAGTGCATGCACACCAACTATTCGACAGAATGTTAGTGGCTACGGGAGGAGCAAGTGCCAGGCTGGGGAGCGTGGGAGGAGGCTGTTAGACCTTTCAGCCTGAGCATTGATAGTTGTGGATGACACTAGGAGAGTTGGGACAATTTTCGTTGGTTTATTTCTCACACAATGCCATACCAACCTGAGGGGTTGGGGATACATATTTATAGGCTGCTAGCCAGCCAAGGCATATGCTAAGATGCTGCTAAGATGCCAGTCTAAGATGCTAGTCTAAGATGCTAGTCTAAGATGCTAACTGACAGTCCTTGATGGTCAAGAACAGAACTCTATCCTAACAGCCAGTCCTTGATGGTCCAGGAATTTATCCTCCTAACTGCCACAAGGACCATGTGCTGCAGCCCCACAAGGACCCTAGTACACAGACTTATCCATCATTCTCCCCCTAAGTCTTGTACGTCGTCTTGTGGGAGAGTTGAATCATCCCAATCCTGGAGCAAAGTTCGAGGAACTTGACCCTCCCAAGGGGCTTGGTGAGCAGGTCTGCGAGCTGATCCTTGGTGTTGATGTAGCTCGCCTCGATGCTCCCTTCTTCCACACAGCTGCGGATGAAATGATACCTCAGTCGGATGTGCTTGCTCCGTTCGTGGAACACGGGGTTCTTTGCCAGGGCCAGGGCGGACTTGCTGTCCACCAAGAGCTGCACCGTTCTGGTGTCTTGAACGAGAAGATCACCAAGCAGTCGAGCAAGCCAGAGCGCCTGAGTACAGGCGGTGGAGGCCGCTATGTACTCAGCCTCACAGCTGGACAGGGCCACCACCTGCTGCTTGACTGATTGCCAGCTCACGAGACACTTGCCGAGGAAGAGGAGGATCCCGCTCGTGCTCTTGCTGGTGTCGATGTCGCCGGCGTGGTCGCTGTCGCTGTACCCGACGAAGTGTGCCGCCCCAGGACACCTAGGGTAGTGGAGGCCGTGGTCGAGGGTCCCTGCTATGTAGCGGACGATCCTCTTCACTGCCTGCTGGTGTTCCGACGTTGGTCGCTCCATGAACCGACTGACATAGCCGACGGAGAATGCCAAGTCCGGCCGTGTGTGAGTGAGGTAGCGAAGGCTCCCCACAAGGCGTCGGTACTGCGTAGCATCCACTTCCTCCGTCGTGCTGTCGCGACTTAGTTTCAGCCTCTCCTCCATCGGAGTGAGAGCTGGATGGCAGTCGGTGAGCCCAGCTAGCTCAACGATGCGCTTGGCGTAGGCGGACTGTCGAAGCGCGATCCCGGAGTGGTCCTGGTGCACCTCAATCCCTAGATAGAAGGAGAGGAGCCCCAGGTCACTCATCTGGAACGTGGCCTTCATGTCTTCCTTGAACGCCGCCACCTCTGCATCTTTGGTGCCGGTGATCACCAGGTCGTCAACGTAGACGCCCACCAGCAGGGCATTTCCTCCACTCCCCCGTCGATAGACGGCAGCCTCATGCGGGCTCTGCTCAAAACCCATCTTCTTCAGCGTGGAGTCCAGCTTGGCGTTCCACGCCCTGGGTGCCTGCCGCAGGCCATAGAGAGCCTTGCGCAGGCGGAGCACCTTGCCTTCCTGGCCGGGAATCGTAAACCCCGGTGGCTGATGCACGTAGACTTCCTCCTTCAAGTCGCCATTGAGGAATGCCGACTTAACGTCCATGTGGTGGACACGCCAGCCCTCCTGGGCAGCCAGCGCAAGGAGAAGTCGCACGGACTCCATCCGTGCCACGGGAGCGAAAGCGTCGTCGAAGTCGACTCCTTCCTGCTGCAAGAAGCCTCGGGCCACCAAACGAGCCTTGTGCTTGATGATGGCGCCGGCTCCATCCCTCTTCAGCTTGAACACCCACTTAAGGGTGATTGCGCGGTGACCTCGAGGGAGATCAGCAAGCTCCCAGGTGCGGTTTTGCTCGACCGCATCCATCTCCAACTTCATCGCGGCGCGCCATGCCGCGTCTCTCTCGGCCTCTGCAAAGGACCGTGGTTCGCCGTCTTCACACACGAGCTGTAGCTGCGCCTCCAGGTCACGTGGCACCAGTCCTGGCACCGGCTGGTCGCCGAGCACATTATCCATCGTACGGTACCGCAGCGGTTCGCCTCCATACCATGCGTTGACCCGCTCCTCGTCGTGAGTGAGCGGGGAAGCGAACTTCATCGGGTTGTGCTCTGCGTGAGCTGGTGCTGATGAAGACGAGCCCGGAGTGGCGACCGCCGGGGCTGGAGTATGCGGCGTCGCCGGTTGTGGTGTCGTCGGTGTAGCAGGCGCCGGAGTCGATGTAGTTTTGGGGGCCGGGGTAGACGTGCCCGGTGAAGAGGAGCTGCTTGCTCCCCCAGCTTCCTTGAAGTGAGCGTACTCGACAATGAAGTCGTCATACGTCGGCGTCGAGCCGTCGTCCACCGCCTTGTCCCATTGCCACCCTCGCCCTTCGTTGAACACGACGTCTCGCGCTGTGCGCACACGTTGTGTCTTTGGGTCGAGGATGCGGTAGGCCTTTGAGCCCTCCGCGTAGCCGATGAAGACTCCCGGAGTGCTCCTGTCGTCGAGCTTGCCGATGTGGCCGAGCTCCTTGGCGAACGCAAGGCAGCCAAAGTCCCGCAAATGAGAGACCGCCGGCTTCCGCCCATGCCAGGCCTCGTACGGAGTTCTGCCGTCGAGTTCCTTAGTAGGAGAGCGGTTGAGGATGTAGACGGCCGTTAGCACCGCCTCTCCCCAGAAGACAGCCGGCATCCCTCTCTGCTTGAGGAGAGCCCGAGCCATCCCCACAACCGTCTGGTTGCGCCGCTCGACGACGCCGTTTTGCTGCGGGTTGTACGACGCGGAGTAGTGGCGCTGGATGCCCTCAACGGCGCAGTACGACGCGAATTCAGCCGCCGTGAACTCGCCGCCGTTGTCAGTGCGCAACACGCGCAATTTGCGGCCGCTCTCCGCCTCCACACCAACCTGCGCGCGCCTGATGGCGTCCACCGCTTCTCCCTTACTGCCGAGGATCATCACCCACATGTAGCGGGAGAGATCGTCGACGAGCAGCAGGAAGTAGTGTCGACCTCCTGGTGTGGCTGGCGTCACCGGGCCGCACAGGTCTCCGTGCACGAGCTCCAGCTTCTCCTTAGCCCGAAAACTCGCCTGTTGGGGAAAGGGGAGTCGTCTCTGCTTTGTCAGTACGCAGATGTCGCAGAGCTGCTCCACATGGTCGAGGCATGGCAGGCCTCGCACCATCTCCTTGGCACTTAGACGCTTCAGGGCCTCAAAGTGAAGGTGCCCAAAGCGCTCATGCCACTGCCACGCCTCGTCGTCTCGACGGACAGCGAGACAGACCGGTTGTGCCACCTGCACATCAAGGACGTAGAGTCGATTTTCACCTCTGGGCACCTTGGCGAGAAGGCGACGCTGGCGATCCCAGATGCGTAGGACCCCATGCTCAATCAGCACGCGTGAGCCGTTCTCATCCAGCTGTCCCAAGCTGATGATGGAATTCCTTAGCGCGGGGATGTAGTAGACACCGGTGAGCAGCCGGTGCTCTCCCATCTTGGTGGTGAAGATGACGGAGCCGACGCCCTTTATCTCCACAGCGGAGGCATCCCCGAACTTGACGGAGCCTCGCGCATCGGAGTCGAGCTCGGCGAAGAATTCCCTTCGACCGGTCATGTGGTGGGTGGCGCCGGTGTCGAGGCACCACCTCGTAGCCTTGTCCTTCCCGGAGCCATCGCCGAGAAGAGCATGTGCTTTTGGCTCATCGAGGTGGATGAAAGCCTTTGCGACTGGAGTCGCCGAGGGTAGCTCAATGCTTGCATGCGCCATGAACAGAGCCGTCTCCTCCTCCTTCGCCTGTGCGACGTGAGCCTGGCCTTGTCGTGGTTGCCGACACTCATTGGCCCAATGGCCAAACCGGCCACAGTTGTGGCAACTGTTGTCTTGTGCCGGCCTGGGCTTGCCAGCGGCGCCGTCCTTGGCGCCTCCGCGGGCGTCACCTTCGGCACGTCCTTGTGCCCTGCCCGGGGGGCCTCTTCGCGCCTTACGCTGCTTGCCACGCTTGCGGCCGCCCGTCGAGGAGGAAGGCTCCCCCTTCTTCTTGTCACCAAGGCTGGGATCCCACTGCTCCCGAGTTAGGAGCAGCTTCCCGCCGGTGGTGACGGGCCCCGAGGGGGGCTGTGGCTCGTCGGTGTCGACGACCTTGAGTCGACCTATCGCCTCCTCGATCGTCATCGTGGAGAGGTCCAGCAACGACTCGATCGAGCGAGCCATCTACTTGTACTTCTCGGGAATGCACCGAAAAAGCTTCTCGACAGCTCTCTCCTCGGTGTAGGTGGCATCGCCAAACTTCACCATCTTCTGCAGCAGAGTGTTGAGACGGAGAGCAAAGTCATCAACGTCCTCACCTGGCTTGAAGCCCAGGTTCTCCCACTCCTTACGAAGTGCCTGCAGGGTGGACTTGCGAGCACGGTCGCTGCCGATGCGTGCTGCGGCGATGGCGTCCCAAGCCTCCTTGGCAGTCCGCTTGTTGGAAAGCGAGAACTGCATCTCGGGCGGGACTGCGGCGATGAGGGCGTCCAGCGCCCGTCGATCCTCTAGGTGGTCGACGTTGCTGTCCTGGACTGCCTCCCACATGCGCCGCACCTGGAGCCTGACCTTCATGATCCCGGCCCACTCGACGTAGTTGGTTTTAGTGAGGGTAGGCCACCCAACACTGGAACCAACATCCCTGACCACAGTCCGGACCTCGTAGAGGCCGCGGTCCTGGTCGTTGCAGCCGCCATCGCGGTGCGCGCCTCCACCTGGAGCGCGGGCGTGCTCGGCTGCCCACTGCGCCGTCCGCTCCTGCGCCACTTTGGCGCGATCTGCGTCGGCGCCGTCGTCCGCAGGCGCGGAGCTGCTGGAGCTGCCGGGGCTGCCGCGGAGTGCCTTGGCATCCGCCGTAGCCTCACGGGCTGCTTCTGCTGCTGCTGCTGCTTCTACCTCCGCCCTGGCTGCTTCTACCTCCGCTCTGGCTGCTGCCAGCTCCGCTGCAGCCAGCCTCGACACTCTTGCCGCCGCAGCAGCCGCTGCTACAGCCGCTCGCTCACGCTCCTCTGCCACGGCGCGCTCGGCCTCTTGCCGGCGCCGCATGCTCGAGGTAGCCGTGTGCTGAGAGCGACCTGCAGACATGGCTCGCTGCAGGGGGGCTGTTGCGTGAAGAGGAGGCTGATGAAGACGAGCTGCTGCTCGACAGTCCGGAGGGAGGAAGGTAACCAGAGGCAGACGGAGCAGCTGCTGCTACCGACTTGGGCTGCTCACAGGAAATGCTCAGGGTGCAGGTTAACGAGGCTCTGATACCACTTGTTAGACCTTTCACCCTGAGCATTGATAGTTGTGGATGACACTAGGAGAGTTGGGACAATTTTCGTTGGTTTATTTCTCACACAATGCCATACCAACCTGAGGGGTTGGGGATACATATTTATAGGCTGCTAGCCAGCCAAGGCATATGCTAAGATGCTGCTAAGATGCCAGTCTAAGATGCTAGTCTAAGATGCTAGTCTAAGATGCTAACTGACAGTCCTTGATGGTCAAGAACAGAACTCTATCCTAACAGCCAGTCCTTGATGGTCCAGGACTTTATCCTCCTAACTGCCACAAGGACCATGTGCTGCAGCCCCACAAGGACCCTAGTACACAGACTTATCCATCAGAGGCAAGCGTGCGCTATAATTCTTAGAGAATAAGTAAGAGTGGAGAGGAAAGATGGTTTTTTTGGAGGATCTCATCCTGAAGCGGTTCAAGCCGAGACAAACTGCTGCGTGCGTCCGCGAAGATGCTCGGCAATGGCGGCCACAGCACAGCGTACAAGGCAATGTCTCCAGTGTCCGAGTCTTCACACGAAAGCATGCACTGCAGACGCACCCACTGTCCATCCGGCTGACGGTGAGTTGACGATGCTATGCAAGAGCCTGCTGCAACATGTTGTTATGTACTCGTGAGCCTAGAACGGCTCAAGTGATTGATTCTGCTACTCAAGGCATGCACTTGCAACCGCCAACCAGTACGTGGTCGTGGAAAGGACGCTCGATGGGTCAGGTGCAAACTACGGGCTGGTGTAGCCGAACATGTTGTCACCACTCGTCGCCAGTGGCGGGCAAGCTCAGCGGGTACCGCGTCTCCGAGGCCGTCCAAGCAGCACAGCACGTGAGGAACATGATTCATAATGGGCGCACAAGGCTACGAGCTGGAGGACCTGCACACAGCCATGGGTCGTTGTCATGGGTGGTCGTTGGATGAAGATAAATATGACAGTGAGGACATAGATGTCAGTGAGAAACTGAGAATAGCCTCTAATCCTGGTCGGAATCGATCTTTTCCTGGTGCACCAAACAGGTTCGGGTCTATCTTGACCGGGATTGATAAGTATAGGGTGCCCATTTTAGGGATTAAGAGTTCATGGTTTAATTCCGACAAGGTGTATGAGTTTAAGGTTTTTTGTAGACTTCACCCTGTTGGCCCGCAAACAGCACAAGCATATCGTAACTTGAACAAATACCCTGTTGAAGAGAAAATGGGGAGAAATTCCGTAACATCGTCTAACTAATGCAGCAGTTGCATCCCCAGTTGGCCCGCAAACAGCACAAGCATATCGTGTGCTTCCATTGCCATAGAAATAGCCAAGCAGATCAAACAATACAGCTAAGCTACACACCGGTAAACAAGCACGGTCCAGAGAACGCACCTGGGCCTTGTAGGAGGCAAGGGTGAGGTCGGCGGAGGAGGACCAGAGCCAGATAGTGCAAGTGACGAGCGCCGCCACGGCGACCAACAGCCGCGCCGGCGCGCGGCGGCGGCGGAGGGACGCCTCGCCAGGACCCCTACCGGAGAGATCACCGAAAAATTCAGCAAAAAATTGAAACGATAAGGGGGTATGGCGAGGGAAAGCGGTGCTCACCTGCGCATTGGGATCGCGGGGTTAGGTTTCGGAAACAGGTGGGGGGATTGGGCACGATATGCGCTAAGATCTGGGAATCGAAGGTGTGGGTGGGAGTGGGAGTTGAGCGTGTGTCCTGCGCGCGCGGGTAGGTGAAACGTGGGATGTGAGGTTTTGTTTAGCGGCCCTTTTCTCCTTTTTTTCATTTTTTTTCCTGAAATGGAAAAGCGGCCTTTTTTTCCAAAACTGCTCGTTCAGAGCGATTTCCAAGCGAACGCTCATTGGCCGTCCGACCGTCATATTTGGCAATCGTTGGCGCAGGAGCGAAGGCCCGCGGGGCATTGGTTCAGGGTGTGCATTCGGTTTTTTCGGTTTGATTCGATTCGGTTATATGGTTTTTATACTTTGGTTCATAGGTTTTATATGTCGTTACAGTTCAGTTTTTGTAATAATCATTTACTTTTGGTTCAGTTTTAGTACGAATTTTCGAGCAACACATGGTTTGATGACGGATCGGAAGCCAGCAAAAATAATGGACAACACAAAGAAAACACTAACACTTATAAGTGCACGAAAATACACTTAAAAATACAGTCACCAATAATACGTAGTTGATTAACAATATTTTTTTAGAGAGAGTTGATTAACAGCAAGTAACATGGCCTTTAGATAGAGATAGCGACAAAAAAAACTAGGATTTGTGCCTCTTGCCGGCTCTGCCGCAGGTCTGTCTCGTCTCCGGTGGCCCTAGGGCCATGGGGACGTGGTGGATCCTGACAAGGGCCGGCGAGAGGGCTTTTTTGTTAGTTGTTCCTTTAAAATTTGTTAGGCTTTATGTTTTGCTTAGGAAGGCGAGATGGCGTCGGCTTCTTAAAGATGGAATAAAGGTCTCCTCGCCTAACCCTCATTTCGGTGATGTGTTTAGCATCGTTGGTGGGCGTGTGAAAGGTGTGTCTCCGGTGGATCTATCGTCGGTGGATTTGCTCGGATCTGGTTGTTGTTTTTCTATGTCCGTATGTCTTCAGGTTGGATACTTCCGATCTACGTTATTCTTCATTGGTGGCGGTTGCTGTTCTGGTGCAATGGTCATATAGGGTCTTAGCACAATGCGTTCCCGACTGTCTACTACGACAAATTGTGACCGACTCCGGCGAGGGAGGGGCAATGACGGCAGTGCACCTTCGGCACGCTTCAGTGTTTGTAGTCGCCGCTGGATGGTCTATAAATTTGGATATAATTTTTATTATTTTTCGGTGTTTGTTATACCATCATGATTGAAGATGAATAGAAGGAAAGTTTTTTTATAAAAAAAGTAACATGGTCTTTTTTTTAGTAGAACAGTATGCGAAGTTAAAAAAAAGGTACGAACGATGCCTTTGTCGTTCTGGGCGAATCCTAAACCCACACGGCCACGGTTCCTTAAGCGCTAGTGGTGCAGGTTCTTATCTCTTTAATTCTTTTTTTTACTTTTCCTTTTCTTTGCTTGTTTTCTTTCTTTTTCTAATTCGATGCAACAAGTTTATTGGATTTTATGAACGTTTTTTCTAATTTGATAAACTTTTTTCAAAATTGATGAACGTTTTTCTAATTGGATGAACATTTTCCAAAGTTGGTGATTTTTTTTTCAAAATCAATAAAAAAACAAATTTGATGAACTTTTTTCAAATTTGATGAAATTTTTTTAAGTGGATGAACTTTTTTTTAAATCCGTGCAGTTGTTTTCAAATTCGATGAACTTTTTAAAATTTCATAAAAAAATTAAAGTTTATGAAAAAAATTCAAAATTGATGAACTTTTTTCAAAATCAGTGATTTTTGTCAAATTCGATGAACTTCTTTGCATTCGTGAACTATTTTTGAAGTTTTTCAACTTTTTTTCAAACCGGTGAACTGTTTTTCAGTTTGATGATTTTTTGTTCAAAATCGGTTGGTGGGCCGACACGCTAAGCGTCGCTAGCGAGCACCGGTAGAGCCAGCCGGCGCCTGAAGCACTGGTTAGGTGCTCCCGTCATTCTGGTGTCACACCCATGAATCATGTGACACCGAAATTGAGTATAAAAACAGAAAGCCCATGAGAGATTTGGTGCGTGTCACGGCCCATGCTCATTTTCTATGCACGCATACGTGGTGAAGGATTAGTAGTTTAGTACTTCCTCCGTCCGAAAAAAACTTGTCCTGTTGAGGATATACCCCGTGGTGTGACCCGTCCAGGAGGGGTCGGGTTACACCTTTGGCGACTTAAAATGAAGAAGACCCAAGAAAGCCCAAGAAGGTGAAGTATGAAAACGACGATTCACAGAAGCGGGTCTGGGAAAGGCCCAAGACCCAAGCGTATGAACCGCCATATGTTAGCTTGTCGGTTAAGGCAAGGCAACTAGAAACCAAGTCGGTCACGTTGTCTGATCCGGCTCAAAATCTTGTAAGCCGTCGGGCATGGACCTGTGTATATAAAGGCGAGACCCAGCGGCGCGTTAACTTAAGAAACAATCGATAGAGAACTAGGTCAAGTGTATTCGCTCCCTTGTAATCGAAACTCACACAATACAACTAGAAGCAGGGCGTAGGCTTTTACCTCATTGTGAGGGGTCGAACCTGGGTAAATCCTTTGTGTCTTTTATCCCGTTCAACCCCTTCAAGCTAACATATGCCACGATGGCTTCACACCTAAGTCCTTTCATTAGGACATTTGTTGTGATAAACCCACGACGGTTGGTGCCCGTCGTGGGGCCTGAGCACAGTGGTTTCGAGTTTTTGAAGGGCAGCTTCTTAGGGATTGAAGGATACATCGTGGGACGGATGACCAAGAGTCGCCGCGGCAAGATCTACATCGACGATGCTGGCTGGGGCCCCGAGGCCGACTCAATTGAGTACGAGTACCGGGTCCCCTTCGACGGAATTCATGTCTTCATCGGCAAGATCGGCGAGTCAGAGCCTGAGCCGGATTCCTGCACTGACATCATCGAGATGGCTCAGCGCGCGCTTCCCGCATGATTCAGCCCGGCCGGAAGCGCGCTTTTCGTTGGCTTTGTTCATAGGGCGGATCTTGAGGAAGGATCCATGTGTGGTGGAGAGACGGCCATCTATTCAGGTGATGAGTCCTCAACTGGTGAAACCGAGTGAATCTATCAACTTTAGGACGGCGGGCTTGGGGGCTATTCCGATGCTGACAGTATTTCAGACCCCTATGAGCCGTCGACCATGGCCGCTATTTTCATGGCTGGCACGCAACCAGTGTTAAACTCCTCGACTGCTGCGGCCATGACGATCGGCTCAACTGCCGTTGCGACGGCTGGGGTGAGCGGCTCTGCGCGTCCGCCGGCTCAAGTCTTACCTGAACTCTTAGATGCTTTGGCGACTCTGTTGGCCACAGAGGTGACTCTGGCAAATCAAGTACAGCATAATGCGGAGGTTGCAAAGTTGCGGGATGAGGTGGCCAAGGCCCGAGAGGACCTTGAAGCAGAGAATGTTAGGATGGCCATGGAACGAGCCGCCTTGGAGGTCGAGACGCAGTGGATAAGGGCATAGGCCTTTCGTTTAAATCTGGATCAGAACGCGTCAAATGTTGTCCTTCGAAGGAGGCACCAAAGCCGCTTACCTGCGCAGTTTGAAGGGCGGAACCTTTTTAATACACCCGGAGCAGGACCGAGTAACCTGCCTGGTGTGACCCGGGCGGCTGAGGCGACTGGGACCGGAGCGGCGGCTCAGCCCCGTGTGCCAGACGCGCCTCGTCTGGACCTAACCCCCACTCAAAGAGTTCCAACACCTTATGGTCATTACTCCAACACATTGGATAATATGATTGCCGCAACCTCGCGGTTGGCAGCTATTCCAATCGAAGGCGAGTCTCAAGTTGCGATAGAGACCCAGAATGTCGTGGAGCTTCTCCAGACGGCTGTAGCTCAGCAGGCGGCTTACTCGTACAGTCGAGAGTGAATCCACTCAACACCACGCCAAATCCGAAGTTACAGCCGGCGCATTGAGTCGCCGGCGGTTTCTAGCAGCGAACAGCGTCGTAACCCGCCTCACAACGATGACCCGCCCCGTGGGCATAACCTGCCCCGTGATGTGATACGTCCATTTTGCATCATGTTTCGTCGTAACCCGCCTCACAACAATGACCCGCCTCGTGGGCATAACCTGCCTCGTGATGTGATACATCCATTTTGCATCATGTTTTCCTACTATTATTTATGATTTTTTTATGCATAATAATGCTTTTTGGCATAATTCTAATGCCTTTTCTCTCATAATATGCAAGGTATACACAAAGAGGGAGAATTCCGGCAGTTGGAAATCAGGACCTGAAAAAGCAACGTCAGGCCACCTATTCTGCACAACTCCAAACAAGATGAAACTTTACGGAGATTTTTTATGGAATATATGAGGAATATTGGAGCCAATAAGTACCAGAGGGGGGCCACCAAGTGGGCACAACCCACCTGGGCACGCCAGGGAGCCCAGGCGCGCCCTGGTGGGTTGTGCTCATCCAAGGCCACCTCCAGTGCCCATCTTCTGTTATATAAGTCATTTTGACCTAGAAAAATAAGGAGAGGACTTTCGGGACAGAGCGCCGCCATCTTGAGGCGGAACTTGGGCAAGAGCACTTTTGCCCTCCGTGGAGCGATTGCGCCGGGGGAACCTCCCTCCTGGAGGGGGAAATCATCATCACCAACAACTCTCCCATCTTGGGGAGGGCAATCGCCATCAACATCTTCAACAACACCATCTCCTCTCAAATCCTATTTCATCTCGTGTGTTCAATCTTTGTACCGGAACTATAGATTGGTGCTTGTGGGTGACTAGTAGTGTTGATTACATCTTGTAGTTGACTACTATATGGTTTATTTGGTGGAATATTATATGTTCAGATCCATTATGCTATTTAATACCCCTCTGATCTTTAGCATGTTTATCACTTGTGAGTAGTTACTTTTGTTCTTGAGGTCACGGGAGAAATCATGTTGCAAGTAATCATGTGAACTTGATACGTGTTCGATATTTTGATAGTATGTATGTTGTGATTCCCTTAGTGGTGTCATCTGAACGTCGAATACATGACACTTCACCTTATTAGGGCCTAAGGGAATGCATTGCTGAGTAGTTATTATATGATGGGCTGCGAGAGTGACAGAAGCTTAAACCCTAGTTTATGCGCTATTTCGTAAGGGACCGATTGGATCCAAAAGTTTAATGCTATGGTTAGGATT